GACCCAGGGGAAGGGCAGAACCCAGGCCCTAGATTCCCAGTGCCACCTGGCAGTTGGGTGCCCTCAGCCTTGGTGGTTCATTAAACTCTGCCTCTTGGACTCTAACTCTTCAAGGACAGGAGGCTACCCTCATTTTCATCTGCGAATAGATGAATGAGTCTGAAGCACTTCACCTATGTCCTCCTTCCCCTGGGAAGCATTCCAGCAAGTGCAGGCACCTCTCCTGGGAAGCCTTTCCTGATATACAGCATGGCCCTGACGGCTCTAGAGCTGCAGCTCCAGATTGGCACTTGCTGTTTTCCATCTCGTTCCAAGGCTAGTTGAGAACTTTTCCTTTCTCCTCCACTAGACCAAAGTTTCTTTTTTTTTTTTTTTTTTTTTGGTACCGGGGATCAAACTTGGGACCTTGTGCTTGCAAGGCAGGCTCCGAAACCACTGAGCTAAATCCCCGGCCCCCCAAAGTTTATTTTCTTTAAAAAAAATTTTTTTTTCAGTACTGGGGATTGAACTCAGGGCCTTCACACTGAGCTACATTCCCAGCCCTTTTAAAAAATCTTTTTAGGGCCAGAGATTTAGCTCAGTGGTTCTGCCGCTTGCCTCGCAAGCACAAGGACCTGAGTTCGATCCCCAGTATCAAAAAATAAATAAATAAATAAATAAAAATAAAAAATCTTTTTATTTTGAGACAGGGTCTCAGCAAGTCACAAAGTTGTATGGGGTGAACAACAGTGCATGGTCTCTCCTAGGGCCTCCCACTGGTTTCCCAGCCTCCAGTCCTGCCTGCCTCTCATTCTCCAGAGTAAACTGGCCTGTGGTTGGACCCGTGGTTGTCTCAAAATGCAAATCTGACCATGTTACGCCCTTCTCTCTAAACTCCCAAGTGGCTCCCCACTGCATTCAGGGTCAAGCCTCAAATCCCTAACATGACTCTCTCCCAGTGCACCTGCCTTGGCCACTGCCTAACCATCATCCTCTGCGTCCTCAGAGGAGCTCAGTTCCATCTTGCACACGTGGTTCCTTCTGCACAAATGCCCTTCCACGTCCCCCTCATTCTTTATTTTGGTTTTTTGAGACAGTGTCTCACTATGTAACCCAGGCTGACCCGAAACTCATGGAGAGCTTGGTCTCTAGTGCTGGGATTACAGGCATGCACCACCCCACCTGGCAACTCTCATTCCTTCTTTCCACATGACAGCTTGAATGTCACGTCCTCAGCAGGCCTTTTCTGATCCCCAGGCCAGGTTCCTCCATCAGCTCCCCCAGCACCCCGCCTTGTCTCCTTGGCAACAGTAACGGCACTTGTCATTTCCTGCCCACATCTGCCTGCACATCAGACTGTGGAAGGGGGACCTGCCGGTCTCATTCACACTGAGCACAGCCCCAGGCCTCACACTGTGCCAGGCAGACTTGTTTGGTGAATCAATGAACAAAGCTTTGATGACCACAGGGTTGACAGTAGCAGGGCGCTTGCCTAATCAACAGAAGGTGAAAACAACGGAACAGAAGTGCAGAAAGTCGTGACCATTTGCTGACGGGTCCCCCACCATAACCACCAAGGTGTGGACTTCAGCCAGGCTGGCATGTCTAGGCTAAGGCCCCAAACGCTCTACACTGTCCACCCTCTTGGCAGTCTTCAATTCCTGTTCCTCCCCAGACAGGGCCTGGGTGCTCCAGTTCTGTGTGGGAAGCGTATTTATTCCTTAACAAAAGTCACCAACATCCTTTTTTACCAAAAACTGTAGCCACGAGAGGAAATGTGAGTGACCCAGATACTGGCATAGGTGCTGGCTGCCCAGGCAAGGGCACCCAGGAACCCACTGTGCATGGCTGGAGGCAGGAGCGTGGCTGGGCATGTGGCTGGCCTCCTACCTTCAAACAACACAGTCTCTCCTGGTCTTAATAGTCTGCTCAGTGTTTCTGCGTCCTCTGTGTCTTCACAATGATTCCCTGAGAAGCAGAGAAAATCTGCCTGACTTGGTAGGCAAAGGGGCACAGAGGGGGTGCAGCTGACCCAAGGTCACCCCAGCAAGTTGGTGACACATAAGATTCTAATTTAGGCCCTGGACCTGGTATCCTAAACTCAGCCTCCAGGTGGAATGCAAAGGCACATTATCAAGTCACTTCTAGGGCGGAGTGGGGCTGAATGCCGGGCTGGGTCTCCTTCCCCCCAGCCTGTCTGCTAGGCCGATCCCCCAACTTCTAGGACACTTGTGCCTGCTCTGGCATTGGCTTGCTCTGTGACCCTGGCTAACCTCATTTACCTCTCTGTGCCTGCTGCTGGATAATTTGAGGACAGCTGGCGGCAGGAGATATAAAAAGCCTCATAGAACCCTCATTCCACAGCCTGCCCTGGGTTGGGGAAATCTGCTTGGAGGCCTCAGAGAACAGCAGTGCACAGACGTGTGTAGGGGAAACCTAAATGACAAAGGCCAAGGAAGCCTGATGTCAGCTTCCACCCACACGGGTGTCAACAACCTGCCTTTGTTGTCTGGCTTCTGCAGGACCCCTGGCCTGTTCCCTGCTGTTCCTGGGCTCCTTCATGCCCCAGGGCTAGGCTGGCTTCATTCAGGTCTTTCAGAGTATTTCCCATATTCTCACACCTCTGGTTCCTATGTCTCATAGTCCCTCTATTGGACAGTTTTTTCCAATTCAGATGCCACCTGTTCAATGATGCTTTTTCTCATCTCTCTAGCTGGAAGGGAGCCCTCGCCTGGCATCATGTCCTTTTCTCTCCTAAGGACATGCCATCTAGCCTGTGAACCAGTGTGGATTTCATGGACAGATACATGCTCCCTTAACACACTGTTGATGTCAGCCTTTTCTTCCTTTGAACAAGTTTGGCAAATCGTAAGTGCTGAATAAATGTCCATTGAATGACAAATGAAATATTCTCTGAGAATCACTATCCTCTTAGTAATCGTTCTTCCAGCCCAGTAAATGGGCTAGATGTTAGGTAGAACTTCCCAACTTGAGCTCAGGATTGCAAAAAAAAGGAATCTAGGCAGTATTCAAGCAAAACACTCTCAGTGGGGTTACTCAGCCAACCCCCATGCCATCCCCAGAAGATAAGGTGAGATAAGGTACCTCTCACTGATGAGGAAATTGCAACTTGGGCTGAGGGTGTAACCTGACCAAAGTCCTGGGGGAAGGAGAGGAGGTGGGACTGGAATAAATTCTGTTTGATGCCAATGTGTGGGTTTTTCCTAATGGGCTGGGACGTATAAGGCTCTGCAAAGTGTCCCCAAAGCAAGGTGAGGACCCTCTTTTTTATGGTGGTTTTTAAAAAGAAAAAAAGCCCTCTTTCTGAGTAACTTAGGTCAGGTTGGGCTTAGAGGTAGAGCAGAGTGACAGAGGCACAGCTTTCTCCTCTTTGATTACTCTCATTCTAAGACTTTTAACCACAGGCTGGTCCACAGCTAATGAGCTCTTAAATGGTGAAACTCTCCTAGCAGAGCACTCCAGGGGAGATCTTTTTTTTTTTTTTGGCACCAGGGATTGAACTCGGGTCCTTGTGCTTGCACAGCAGGCGGCAAAACCACTGAACTAAATTCCTGGCCCGATCCTTCTTTTTTGGGGGGTACTGGGAATTGTACCCAGGGCCTTCACACTGAGCCACATTCCCAAGCACCACCACCCCCGCCGCCATACTTACAGACTTTTTTCAAGTTCTAGCCAAGTCACCCAGGCTGGGCTCGAACTTGTAATCCTCCTGCATTAGCCTCCCAGAGTGCTGGGATTTCAGGCATGCAACACACACACCGAGCTTTGGGGAGGATTCTTAACCCAGTAGGTAGATGGAGTCCAAGATGATCGCTAGGCACCTCTGGGCATAGAAGGAAGCCATAATTCCCTAGAGAGGCAAGAGGTGGCACATGAATGGAGACTCTAGCTCTGTGTAGTGCAGGGGTTGGTCCTGGAAAGTCACTGGCAGCTCTTCAGCTCTACAGGGGGTCCAACCCCCCACCCCCACCACCCCCACCTTGCAAGCAGTGGGCCCCCCTGGGCTTGGCAGCAGCATCAGAGAGGACGGAAGGTGCCTGTCTCCCTGGAACTGCCACCCACAGTCATGGGCACATGGTCTTCTCGGGCCGTGACTGTGCCTTGTGCCCATTGCACAGGGCAGAGAAGCTGACTAGGAGAACCGGAGGGGCTTGTGCTTGCGAAAAGTAGCCAAAGAGAAGCAGGCACCTGATGAAGAGGAAATCACCAGGCCCTGGAGATGTGACCAACATGAGGCCTCTCACACCCCCAAAGACAACTCCCCTACCATCAGCTCAACAAGACCAGCCTTATCTAATGGATTTCCCTCCTGGGGCTCCGGAAGGGGGCTCCCCAGCTCCCCTTTTTCGTCCAGTGCGGATCCAGGTCAATACTTGGCACCTTCCTCTGAGGATTTATTACTCGCAGATGGGAGACTAGATCGCTGGGCACAGGGGTTCCAAATGTCCCCTGGTCTCTGACAGCTACCCCTTCCCCTCTCCTACAGATGGATCAGCAGCCCCAGAGCGACCTAAACTAAATCGGTCGGCACAGCCACCCACGATGTCCCAAGACGAGCGCGGACCGACCTCCGCTTTACCTGACGTTCAGATCCAGATGGATCCTGACGCCTCGCGATCGCGACGATCGCCGCCACCCGTGAACCCCACTCAACTCGGCTGCCTACGGTCTCCACGTAAAGCCAGGTCCAAGGACTTCTGGACACCCCAAATCAGATCGCACCAACTGTCGCCAAGACGACTCCCCCCACCCCACCCCGCGAGTCCTCCACTCCCTTCAGTGGGTCAGACGCCCAGAACCAAGCTCCCCTGACGGAGCCAGCGCCGCGCCCAGGGGGAGCGGAGTCCGGCCTCGGAGACCCCGAGAGGCTCCACGCTTCACACTGCAGCCGGCGCCCAGCCCCCCGCGATGTGGGCTGGTCGGGGTGCCGTCCGCGGCGCCGCGGCCGGGGACAGTTGAGGCTGGACCAGCACAGCCCGCGGGCTGGAAGCGGCACTCACCATAGCTTGTGTGTTCCGCTCCGGTCCAGCTCCTTGCTCCCGGCTCCCGGATCGCCGCGGTGCCGTACTATTCAGACTGCGGCTGCAGCTCCGGCGGCGCGCTTGGATCCTCGCGGGCGAGCGCGCGGCTCGGCGCCCAGGCCCAGGAGGCGGGGCTCGCCGCGGGCCAATGACGAGCCTCGGGGGACGGTCTGGGGAGAAGCAGCCAATCACGCACGGAGGCCCGACTCACCGCCCCCCCCCCGCCCTGGCTCCTTAACCCTTGGTAGGCCTGGGTCCCAGACCCGGGCTGTTCTGGGGACAACAAACCTCTCTGGCTTTTGGGCGCAGGTTCCGGATCCCGCTGAGACCGGCTTTGGGGCAAGCAGAGCGGGTGAGAGGCTTAGCTATGTCGGGCGCGGGGCGCCGGGAGTTTCAGCGACCGTTGTCTCCTGCCTGACGCCTGCACTGAAGTATGATCCATCCAGGTTGATGCAGCTGCGTGTGTGTGTGTGTGTGTGTGTGTGTGTGTGTGTATGTGTGTATATAAAAGAGCTGAGGAGGGAGGAGAGGAGGAGACAGAAAAGGGGTGGGGGATGGATTCTGCATGCCTGTGTGTTTATGTGTGAAGGAAAGACAGACACTGACTATACTTGGGGATTGCTTTGCGTGTGTGTGTGTGTGTGTGCGTGTGTGTGTGTGTGTGTGTGTGTGTGTGTACAGGGGAGAGAGATGTGGCCATGATTTAGTACAACTTTGTGGCCCAGTTTGTGAGACAGAATGATTAAAAACAGAGTGTGGTGAAAGTGTGTGTTTGTGTGACTTTTCTACTCATCTAAATTTGTATTGTACTGAGGAAAACAAACTAATGTGTAGAAGGTATGAGTATATGTTCAAGAGAAAAAGAGCCTAGGCTTTTTAGCTCAGTGTTTCTGGCGCCTGCCTCAAAAGCTCAAGGTCCTAAGTTTGATCCCCAGTATAAAAAAAAGAAAGAAAGAAAGAAAGAAAGAAAGAAAGAAAGAAAGAAAGAAAGAAAAAGAGACATGCTGGAGGAACTGGGATTTGGGCTTTTAGTTTTTCCCTGGTACTGGGAATTGAACCCAGGGCTTTTACACTGAGCTACGTTCCCAGTCCTTTTTAAATTTGTGAGATAGCATCTGGTCAAACTGCTCAGTTGCTGAGGGGGGGGGGGTCGCTTGAATTTACAGTCCTTCTGCCTTAGCCTCCCAGAGTGTTGAGATTACAGGCATATGCCACCACGCCCAGCTCAAGAGTAGAGGTTTGAAGGATGTTTAAGAGCTTCTGAGGCCAGAAGGAAAGCTTGCCTAGGACACACTGGGAAGCAGGGTTGAGTTGGCTAGAACCAGGTGGATTCAAGGAAAAAGAGAACCTACTACTGGCAGGGAACCAGAACAAGTGGGGCAGAAATACTGCAGGCACAGGGTCAGGATTTGAGGAGGCCACTGGTCCTGGGCATTGCATATGGGAACCCAAAGTGCAGGGAGGGGCTCCGTGGAAATAGCTTTCTGTACTGTCTCTCTCTGCATTCTGAAAGGGACACATTGGGAGGGGCAGGGAGCATGCAGTGTGGGGCAGCTTGACCCAGGGCCACTCACAGGGCTGGCAGCAGAGCAGGACTAGAGCCAAGGCCTCCCAACATGATGGCCAAGGCTTTTATATTGCTCCAAGCTCCTCAGGAAGAGGATCCTTCCTCCAGCTCCCTGGGGCCGGGATGTCCCACCTGAACACCCCCCCACCCCGCCCACTCCAACTTCTCTGGTTCAGTCGGGCAGTTGAAGATTGAGGAAACCCAACAAGAGCTGCTAATTATGGAGTCTGTGCCAGACCCAGTCTGGGTGCTTCACATGACAAACACAGGAGCAGTGGAATAGATTTAAAACATTTACTCTATCCCTGCATTTGCCTTATTTGTACTGTTTCCCTCCCTCTGCCTTAATTTCCTTAATTTTGGAAAAAAATAAAGTGGATGTCTATTTTTTCCTATCACAAATGTAATACATATTGATTATAAAATAAACAACACAGAAATGAATATAGTAGATGCCTCCATAGCCCCATTCCTTGGGCCTTAACCACTGCAGACTCTGCAGCATGATTCTGCAGTTGGATCAACAAATGTAGGATCATTTTATGGGAGGAAACCCATCAGGAACCTGTTTCCTCCTGCCTTCCCTGAGGAAGGAAGCGAGAAGGCCATCTGGGCCTCACCCTGAGGACCTGGCTAATGGGCGGAGGGAGAGGAAACCGACTGTAGGACACAAGGACAGAATAAGATTCATATCATGAGAGAAAGGGTGGAGGCTGCTGGGGGGAATGGTGGGGTGGGGAGGGGTGGGAAAGGGGACCCCCCAAGTCAGCGGAGGGAGTCATAGGGGACCAAGATGCAGACTGGGTTCTGGTGCATTGTGTGAGATCCTAAAAAAGAGAGGGAGGGAGACAGAAGGGAGAGGGAGAGAGGCAAGGAGGGAACTGGGCACTTTCATTGAGTTGATGGATGAAATCCGTTTTAACATTCTCAAAAGAATGAGGTAAATATTTAGACGGTCTGTTTTTCTTTTGGAGGAGGAACTACTGTTTCTAATACAATAGGGGACTGAGGCCAGCCCGAAGTTTCTCAGCTTTATCTAGATTACATTTTTACAAACAAAAAAATGAGATTTCACCATAATAATGACTGCTGAGATGTTCTGCCTGCATAAGTCACGCCAGGCACTGGGCCAAATACTCTTCTGTATTAATTTATTTACTTCTACAAATAGCCCAATGCAGATGGGTACCACTATCATCTCATTCTACAGATGAGGAAACTGAGGCTCAAAGAGATAAAACAACATGTCCCAGATCACACAGGCAGCAAGCAGGGGAGCTGGAACGAGACAACTTACTATTTGAATATTTTGGTAAATGTAGTTTTGTTTTGTTTTCCTGGCAGTGATGAGCAGTGAACCCAGGGCCTTGCACATGCTAGGCAGGCGTGCTGCTATGGAGCTACAGTCCCAATCCAGATGTAGTTTTCAGCAGTTGTTCGGTTTTTTTGTAAGCTGCTCCACATCTGTTCTGCCTGTGATCAGGTAGACGTCGGCATAAACAAAAGGCACCCTGTGGTTGGCCGCCCTGCTGCTCCCTGCAGGAGGCTCCCTGCCTTCTCTGTGATGAGCAGTTGATGGAGAGATGGTCACTGATCAGGCACTGGAACTCACCGTGATGCTCTAAGGTGAGGTGTTGGGGAGGCTGCAGTGGGGAACAGGGCTGCATATCTGGGATCCGCACTCACCCACACACCCTCAAGATGACCTGGACAAGACATGCACAGTTCTAGTTTTTCTCAAGTTCATGAATCTCCTCTGCAGTCCCCCAACCACCCAGGAGTCACCTGGTGAAGGTGTGAAGACAGCCCAGAGCCAGGGAAATAGCTGGGAAAGTAAGCCAGGTGGGGACAACTAAGTGGGAGAGATGCCTGTGGGTTCCCTGGGACAGCACAGTCAGACCAGCAGGAGACGGGCCATTTCCTCAAATGCCTTTGCTGCCATTAGCATCTCTTTGATATACAGCCCTGCTAGTTGAAGGGCCAAGGATGTGTTTATCTCAAAGGACCAAGTCACCAGAACCAGACTACCATAACCCAGTGAATTTCCTCTTTTGCCTTGGTTGCTAGGAAGCTCTTAGATAAGTTATCTCTTCACTAACTAATTCAGTCCAGGTGCTGGAGATTTCTTTCCATCTCTCTTTTTGGATTGATATTTTATAACATTTGCTTTAATACTGGTGGTCTCCCCATTGCACTTTTGTACATAGAGGAGATGTTGGCAACAAACAAAAACATTTCATAATGTGAATTTGATGGCTGATGGCTAGAGCAGATGGCAGAGGAGTAGGACAGTCAGCTCATAGGACTGGGGCAAGATGGGACAGCTAGGAGGGAGAGGAGGGTAAAACCATCTCTGCTGTGGTGTCCAGTCATGTGGGGAAGAGGTGCTTGGTGCTGGAGCTATTTGCCATGGTGGAGATCAGGGCGGCTGCAGAGTTTGTGCAGCATGCGTGAGGGCCTGGGTTCAATCCTCAGCGGGGGGAAAGAGAGAGAATCACTTCTGCCAAAACCCAGACATGGAAGGGACAGGAAGGAGATGCCAGAGGCTGCAGCACCAGGCACAGTAAGGACAGCCGCATGAGCTGGGTGGAGGTTTCATGGAGCCAGGCCAGGCCATGGGTTTGGGGCAAAGTCTGGCTTCTGCCCTAGAGCCCGAATACTCCTGCTCCCTGGACTTTGGTAGGGAGCTAGCCTCAGGGGCAAGGTGAGGTGTGGCTGTCCCAGACCCAGGGCTCTTGCCCACTCCTGGGGTCTCTGCAGCCACAGTCTGGGCTGGGGGCAGGTGCAGGTGAGGGCAGGAATAACATTGAGTCAGGTGCCCTTGAAGCAGAACCAGGCCGTTCTGCCCCACTGGTCCCAGGGTATGGGGCTCTCCTAGGGCTGCCCAGCCAGTCAGAGTCAAGGGTGAAAACTCAGGGCTTTGACCAGGACTGTGGGTGAGCCAGACCCAGAAAAATTGGACCCAGGCTGGGGACCTGAAATAGCAGACATGAAATAGCAGAGCCACAGCATGAGGCACCACTCCAGAGTCAGACTCTTTGATTCCAGCTGGCCTCAGCCAGTCTCTTCACTTCTCTGAAATTCATCTCTAAATTGGGGGTGATATCACCTCCACTACGGGGATGGTTAGGTGATTTTACAAATGCCAGAGATTTAGCTTGAAGTAGTTAATTAGTAAATGCTTTTTTTTTTTTCTTTCCAGTACTGGGAATCAAACTCAGGACCTTGTGCTTGCCAGGCAGGTGCAGCACCACTGAGCTAAATCTACAGCCCCATAATCAGTAAATGTTAGCTCTCCAAATCTAAGGCACCAGGAAAGAGGCCTTTGATCTGGCCACTCCTATTCCCCATACCCCCACCACATCTGCAGCCTGAAATTCTAGGTTGGAAGTGGGGACCGGCCAGGTGTTCTTCAAGTTTCTGTCTCTGGCCTCAGAGCCTTTGCTCAAGCTGTCTCCTTCCCTCACCTCATCACCTACCTAATTCCTCTCTTATTTGTTAATACTCAGCCCAGCCCATCACCATCTCCAAGAAACCCCATCTCCCAGATCTGACTAGGGCTTCCCCAGCTGTGTT